TGTAAAATTATTAGGCATTATTATTGAAAAACAGTGGACATTACTGTTGGACAGTGGCCTTCCAATTTTACTCATTGAGAATACATGGGTGTCTCAGACCTTAGTTCATTGTATCAGAATAAAGACTCTGGCCATGCAAAGCAGATTCTACTATGTCCATTGTCAAATAAGGCGCCCGAGGCCTGGAGCTTCCCCTGTGTCCTGCTGCCAGCACTGTGGTCATACTGAGCTGTGGCTCCAGGTCAGCCTGCTCTGAAGTCTCTGCTACAAATGGCAGAATCTCCTTGCTTTTCCCTTTAAATACTGCACACTCCCCGTATGGTCCCTTTGGTTTCAGGCAGTTTCACATCTGAGTCACACTTGGTTAATTTATAGTCATAAAATGATACTAAAGATCACTGTTGCGTAACAACCACAAGCGACTCCTTTGATGCTGCCTTTGCCAACCCTGGAGTCAGTGGTGTAGGTTTTGGAATCCAACAAAGAACAGTCATGAAGACTTGGGTGTTGAAAGTGCCACCATGCCCTAGGCACCCACTTCTGTGCCCCAGGTGTGCTGCAAGAGAGGGTGTGGGTTGCTGCACAACATCTTTTTAGCTGAGCCGTGGGTGTAGGAGCAGGTGGGCTTCTGAGCTACAGAGAAGTTGCCTGATGCTTCATGTGTGTGACGCCACCTGTGCAGTTGTTTCAAAACGCTGGGCCGTAGCATCTGTGTACATAAATTAAAGTAAATTAACATTTCTATTTTGCCTGAGATGTTCAGTTTGCGTACTGGTGTGATTAGAGGAAAGTGTGAGGATTTGAGGAAGGGTTGAGAGATGCATTTTCTTTCGAGATTTAATATGCTTGGTTTGAAGTTCCTTATGTTAAACAAAGACAGGTAAATAGATAGGAACATAGATGAATAGATACAGAGGAACGGAAGAAGGGATATGTAGATAAAAATTTAAGATGGGATTTCAGATGCTTTTCTCATGTGTCCATATGCATCTGTCTTTTCTAAATTTGTCTAAAATTAATATGAGCTGGAAGCAGAGTATGCCTCAAAATAAGCGTGGAAGGACTGAGAGGGACTCAGCCATGGGCTGGCGTGTGTTAGTCACTTCTGTTCTTCAGTGTACGTCTTTAGTTCTTCACCTGTGGGCACAGCACTAGAACTAGAAGTCGGCACAGCACTGAACATTCTGCCAATGAGATATGATCTGAGGTTGTTCCTGTCACTGCCCCGTGGGAGCCTATGAGATCCCACTTGTGATCCGTTGTTTCCCCACCACAGTACAGACTCCATCTTTGGGGTTCTGGCTAGCCATAGGGGGTGGGACTTACCGACCTGGGTTGAAGGTGGACTGTGAGCAGTAATAGGACTGTATGATGATATGATGAATTGGGAGTTGTTCTTTGCTGGAGCACATCCTAAGTGACACAGAAAATCTCGCTAACCATGCTGAGGAATTTGGAACACATCTTGTTGACTATTCCAAGTTACAAAAGCAGTGTGTGTGTGTGTGTGTGTGTGTGTGTGTGTGTGTGTGTTACTTTTGTCAATCCAGAGAGTAAACTCTGGCCAGAAGAGACAAACTTTCCATGTTCCAGATGATATATGCTAGTTCAAACAACTATTAATAAAAGTTGTGGGTTTCTTGGTAATAATGGAGCAGTGTTGTATCTTGATTCTGATAACCATACATGTCAGTACACATGACAGAATGTCATTGATTTATGTACAAAGATGTATTAAGCAAAGGAATACATCTTCAAAGTGGTGAAACCCTCGTAAAGACTGTGGTACAGTAAATTATTGCCCATGTTGACTTTCGGGTTTTGATAATGTACTCTCCATAAGTACGGTGGTGCCACTGGGGGAGGCTGGATCATGAGTATAAGGGAATTTTCTGGCCTATTTACCTTTTCCTGTAAATCTGTCAGTATTTTCATAAAAAGTTAACAAGTTCATTGAACTAAACCAAGACAATGATCAGTCGCTGATTCACTACTAGGCCCATAGAAGGTCTTACACAGGTCGATCAAATCTCCAACAGTCAGCAGCTCACCCCTCATATGTGGGTTCTGTTTGCAGTCTTTCAGGCATGACATTTCCATTTAAAGCCTATGCAATGCCAAACACTTCTGTAAAGCTGCTGGCTTTATTAGACAATCCTACCCCCAACATACATACAAACATAAACACATACTGTGTCCTACTTGCAAAAGGTGTGCTATGCTGCCCTGGACTTGTCGTATTATACAGTCTCTCTGAATTTCTCGGAGTACAGAGCAGAAACAAGAAACCCGATACCCAAAGCCGGAGAATTACCTGAATAATAGTGTGTGGACTTGAGTCACTATCCCCAGAAGCCTAGTAACCCACAGCTTGTGGATTAGTCCGTTGAACTGCTTGATGGCTTGTGACCCCTTGTTACCTCTGGATGTGTGTGTTCGGATTTTGTTCTTATTGGTGGTTGGCAGCTCTGTGCTTTATTTCAAAGTGAAGTGAGGGAGAACCAAAAGACATTTTACCAGTTGTAAGATACACGTAGAAAAGAATGTGTGGGCCATATGGGCATTTTATTAGAATATTGCTTTGGGATCCCATCTGGGAGTGCCCTTCCTGTCCTAAGAGGGGAGTATATATCTGTTGTTATAATATGCAATCTGCATATCCCTTGGGGTTCTCTTGGGGCTTGGCAAAGAAGAGCAAGCTCTTCACTGCCCCCACCCCACACAGTAAATGAGTGTTCCATGTTTTTCTTGTGATGTATTCAAATTTCCGTGGGTTCTGTATGTGACAGTGGTGTGTCCTGCTCTGAGGGAAGTGCGGCAAGGGCTAGAGGAGGCAGGATGAGGGTGAACGACACTTTGTTTTCTAACTCTGGTTGTCAGATCAAATAGTGTTTTGAGATATGAGAACTTCTGTAAGCCTTTGTAGTTTAATAAGCTTTTTAACCCTCTGATAAATGTTATTACTACTTGGAATAAAAGAATGTGGTGTTTTGTTCTTCATCTAGGGGTTCAAACTCTCAACACAGGGTGTTTCGTCATCCAGATGCCTTCGGTGTCCTGGTGGCAGGTTTCCTCTTTACAGGGTGTGTGGGACTCACCTTGCATAGACCACCCCTGCCCCCAGCTCTATGATCCCCAGAAAAATGGAATGCTAATAGGACATCTCCCCTTTATGTGTTAACATCTCCCCTTTTTCATGGATCAGGTTGATGCTTCTCTTTCCTGACAAAATCTGCACAGTTCAGCATCTTCCCCTGTTACCAAAGACATTTGTATCTACATTGATCTGCCTTCCTGTTTGTATCTACATTGGTTTGTCTTTCTCTTACCACAGAGATGCTGTTGGCATTCAGGCAAATCATTTCATCAGTTTATACAGTGTTTCCCTAGCACTGGGATCTTTAAAGACATAACCAGCTTCCTCCAGGATCTTAACAGTGACCTGGTTCAATGTGGTCTTCAGGGAGGACCTGTGGTCATTGTTGTATCTAGCACACTGTATTTAGCATCCTAAGATCACCATTTTATTGCCAGTTGGCATTAGGGCAAGAACTTGGCACAATAGACATCCATCTCCTCCTGGCTAAAGTTATTAAATGTCTTCTCTCTTCCAGACTAGATGTTAGGCACTCAGCCCTTATCTTCACAACTCTGCACGTAAATAATTACTATGCACTTTTTAACAAGTGAGGAAACTGAGGCTTATAAATGTCAAATGGTCCAAAGTCAGCATGCTTTCCAGCTGCCACTGCCTGATGTTTATTGTTCGAAGTTTAGGGCTTGGGCTGGAGCCCAGGACGCAGAAAGCCAAGATAAACAGGCTGCAGATGCACTAAACATCTCAGCCCAGCTCATGCAGCAGCACAGGGTGGAGGTTGTTTTCAGCAGAGCCATTTGTGTCCTGCTTCATAGCGTTAGAGGTTTCATGTTATCCTCCTTAGTCTTAATAAGCTTTCCAGTCTAGACTGGAATTCCCAGGTTTTAGACTTCCTTTTCATGAAGACTTCTTACCTAAGCAGACAAGTGACCTCGACATCATTGGCTTTTGTTCTGGAGGATTGAGGTCGAAGAAGTGATAATTCTTAATCTCATACCCCAAAGCTGCTCCAGACTTAAAAGTTTGGGAGTACTCTGTGAACACAAGGCAAGTCCGAAGCATCGGTTTGATCTGTCCTTCCAGGAATGTGCCTGAAGGGACAGTGAAGCATGGTGTTGTCTCATTCTGAACTCTGCAGACCTGGCTTCCTGCCAAGAATGTGGGCTTTGGGATCCACTGATTGGGGGTCAATCCTTGGCCCCTTCTTAGCTCTATAACCTCTGGTAAGACGCCACCCTGCAGAATGGGAAGAAATATTGCTTATCACCGATCACTGTGAAGACTAATGAGAGGTTATGTGTGGATGCCCAGTGTGGACAATGGCCGTCTTTACCATCAGAAAGTGTCCCACCTGTCCACAGAGTGGTTTGTGTTACTCGGTCAGGGTCGCTTGAGGACCTTGGCCAGCCAAAGTCCCTTAGCATAAAGAGTCTTGCCTGCTTTTGTACATTCTATAAGTGAGTTTATTGTTTTTAATATGTGATACAAGCTTAGTGGAAAGATTTTGAAAGCTGGATGGCAGCTCGAGATTGAAATGTTGGCCACTGCATCCTGGGCTGTTCCAGGCTCGGTCCTGCTGGCCCTCTATCTTTGTAGTTTTTCAGAACTCAGATTGAGGGGAGAGAGTGTGTGCCTGAAGACCCTTCAGAGTCTCTTCCATGTGCGGCAAGAACCACAGCACAGCCCCCACCCTGCAGATTTAGCAGTGTCCCAGCCTCACATGCTCCTGGACTTGGCAGTAAAACCCTGTTCTTCCATTCATTCCAATGATTTATATTCTCTCTGGGCGTCTAATATTAAACAGGGGAATTCCGACATGTTCCATAACACATTTACTGTAACTTGATACCATGAACTAAACTTGCTGTTATTTATCATTTCTTTTTATTTTCTCTCATTCCAGCACAAAGCCAAGGTAGAAGCAATGACCCTGGACCTTGCTCTGCTCCGTAGCGTGCAGCATTTTGCTGAAGCATTCAAGGCCAAGAATGTGTGAGTGTTCCAGGGGAGGGTTATAGATCATAATTCCTTGCTGTTGTAATGTCTTTATCAGATGAGCACAGTTGGGAGAATGCAAGGCTGTGGTGTTGTCTTGGCGTCCACACGGGAGGCTCATTTATATTGGCCCTGTTAAGGTGTCCCATATTTTCTTGACTCTAAGTCACCCTCATTATGAGATGTGTCATCAATCTAATAACAGCTTCCAAGATTAAAAAAAAAAAGAGCAGAAGAAGACACTATTAGGGAACTAGGAAAAGTGGCTAATAAAAGCTAGGCCATTGTAAGATGCAGCCTGGTTATGGACTTTTCTTCATTGCCTCTCAGCTATGAGGACAAATATATTTTAATTGCATCGGAACAGATTCCCTCTTTATCTAGTACTGCAGGGACCTGAAAATCAGAGTGAGAGGAGCCAGTGTTTTGCAAGTCTGCAGTGGACCGATGTGGTGCACAGGTGTGGTTCCACACACACAGACTTGTGGGGTGACAGATTGACTCCTTTTTCTCTCATTCTTTTTCGGTCCTTCAAAATGCTTGCAGGAGAAAATTTTGGTTAGGCGCTTCCATATTTTGATGCTTTTACAGGCCAACTTCCTTTTCCTGTAGAGAGCAAGGGAAGGGGATAGAGGAGAGAGGGGAGACAAACAGGAAAGGAGGAGGGAGAGGAAGTCAGAAAGGGAAGAAGGGAGGAAGACCCTATGATAAAGAAAGCAACCATGTCTTGCTATACTGTAATTACAATACTTTGCTCCCAAGTGTTTATTTTTACTTTGCCTGAAACACAGGGCAAGCAGTGCTGGTTTCTCATTTAACATAGTCATTTATGTTTCTTTAATAAATAAACTTTTTTTTTTCCAGTGAGATGGTTGAAACAAGAGGATTCCGTTAATCATAGTGCAGCTGGTGCCAAGGCTGAGATAATTACACACATAGGTTCAAGGACCTCTGCCGTGTAACAGTGTCCTTGGCTAGGCTGTGTGTTGGGAACACCCGATTTACTGTTCTCCGAGGAGATGAGGGATGGAAGGCCGGGGGACCTTAGACCAGATTATCAAAGGGTGCTGTGCAGAGCTGACCCGGTGCAGTCCATGCTGATCCTGCGATGCCTTTGGGGTCTCGCTGTGCTGTTTTTGAATGTCACAGAGCTTGTTCTGTAAGGCTCATCCTGCGGTAACCAGGGGCCTGATCCTTGAGCTCTGTGCACTCCACAGGGTGGGAGTCGTTAGAGATTGGTTCCATCCCGAGTGCAGGCTCTGCCCATGCTCAGACACTGTTGGAGCATCCCCGGGCAGCCAGCAGGTAAGCATGAGCCCTTCTCTGTCCTTTGCAGCACCCACAGGGGCCAGAGCTCTTTGAAACCTCAGAGCAGTGTCCAAGGCAGTCGTTCTTTGAGCGCTCTGTCATCCAGTCTTGCTTGCTCTCTTATTTCACACACATTTGTAAAGGCCACCAAAGCTCGGCTTCTCCTTAGCTCTTTGAAGAGAGCGTTGACCACTAGAAGCCAAGTTAAACTCAGACGAGCCACAATCGCTGTTGTCAACAAGCAGCGTTTTATTGCTGACAGCTGAGTCCTCAACCCAGTGTGTCTGCAGTGGTTTCAGAGGGAACAGTGCTAACAGTCATCGCAGCAGAAGTGGCAGCTCTTTGATTCGGGGCTTCTGGTGGGCCACACACTAAGGATGATACCTGCACGCATTTTGTAATTTAATTCTCAAAGCAGTCTTTTGTGTGATTATCCCCATCACACAGAAGGAGGAAATGAGGCTGGAAGGAAAGGGTAAGCGACTAATCCAAAGGCAGGTGGTGAGTAGAGAGCTGAAGTCCTGAATGGCTGGGCCCCCTAGACCTCCCTGTTAGCCACCACGTCGTCCAGTCCTTCATGAGACAGACACTGAGACTCACAGCAGGCCAGTGACTTTCACAGGGTGACGTGGCAGTCACCAGGTCAGACTCCTGCCCTCTGCCTGGCAGCACACTGCGTCAGGTGAGTCTTGCATTCTGTGCCCGTGATCAGCTCCCTCCAGTTCCTGTGTTGGGCACCTTGGAAATGAGCAGCCTTGCAGTGGCAGGACCAGGTCACATAACAGGACTGCCTTCCACACCTTACTAGGCCTGTTAGTTTTCAACCATTAAGTAGTTTGGAAATCATCAAATTTAAGTGTCTTTGGTAATCACCAAACCCAAACTGTTGGAGGGAGCTGTGGCTCACATTGCCATAGTCCTAGATTTTTTTGTTCTGTTTTTTTACTTTTTGGTGCTGGGGATTGAACTCATGACCTCACACTTGCCAGGCAGGCACTTATGCCACTGAGCTAAATTCCCAGCCCCATAGTCCTAGATTTTAGTGAAGGACTTTTTAAGTTTTTATACTTGTTTGTTCAGAAATAAGGGCGGTTTTGCTTTCAGAACTCTGCAGCGCACTCTGTCTCTTGGGAGCACAGGCTTGTGCGTGGCTTAGAGAAATATTGTGGTGGTGAAAATAGGCAGAAAAAAGTGAGCGCTTGTACTCTTGAAATACTGCCAAAGTGAAATCTCTCACGGATAGGCAGATGACAGTTCAGTACGCACAGGTCTTTAGATTCTGGGAACTGTCAGATGTGGATTTAAGTGCCGGTGACGGGGCTGCCAAAAAAACATGTGTAACTCTATTCTTATCATCACCTCCCATCTTCAGACATTAAAATTTCCTTGTGTGTAAAACATAATGACAAATGAAAGAAAGGCTGCCAGTTTAGAACTGATTTCCTTTTGTGCTTTTGGACTGAAGAGAGGAAAAACCCTTAAGTACGAATTCCACGTAGACGCCCTCGTTTAGGGTACCGTCTCCGAGCTCATGTAGGAAGGAGGCAGGGTACCAGCAGGCTCTGTTTGCCTGTGTGCTTTCCTCAGTTCCCGCTCTGGCCCAAGTGTGTCATCCCACCCCTGGGTAGGCAGTGGTTTGTATCGGCTCAAGCCGAAAAGTTTGAGACGGGTGCCATACACCAACACTGGCTGTCCACGCAGCTCTGTTCCCTGGAAGCACCCCCTGCTGCCTCCTAGCAGATGTGGAATCAGCCTCTTTGCGGGGTGTCTCCCTCTCCTTAGGGGCTGGGGTGTGGAGGAGGAGAGGCTCATGCTGCTTTGGAGTGAGCACTGCTGCTAATGGTTGTCTAAGCCGTAGCTGCTCGCTAACTGCCTGCTTTGCTGTATGAGGCAATGTGCTAAGCACCTCAGTGTGTATTCTCTTTGATTTCTCACACTTACCTGGGTGTTATCACCCCTGTGTCAGAAATTGAAAAGATAGAGCACGGACAGGCTAAGTCACCTGCCCACATTCACCACGACGTGGTAAATCCTGAACTGGAGCCTAAGTCTGTTTGAATCCAGAATCTGCAACTCCTCTTATTACTTCTCATTCTTTGGTCATGTCTTTTTTTAGTATAGATTTCTTTATTAGTGATGTATTGCTGGGTGAAAATTTCCATGGCTTAAACCAATAAATGTTTTTTTTAAATGGTCCACAAGCCAAGCGGGGGGAGGCTGAGGTAAGAGGATTGCTCGGAGTTTAAGGCCAGCCTGGGGTACATAATGAGTTTAAGATCAGTCTGTTGAACTATATAGTAAGGCCCTGTCAAAAAACAAAACAAACAAAAAACACAAGATACACATTCGAGTCTGTGTTTTTCCTTCCTTCTTTGCCTTCACCTCCTTCCTTTTCTCCTCTCCCTGTTTGCTTACTTCGGGACTCAAGTCCCCTGAGTGCTTTATTGTTATTTGGCAGTACTGGAGATTGAACCCAGGGCCTCCACAATAGCTACATTCCCAGCAAGTGTTTTTAATATCTTTTAATTTTAGGCAGGGTCCCACTAAGCCATCAGGTTGACCTGGATGGTTTGAACTTGAGATACTTCTGCCTCTACCTCCCAGAGTTCTGGGACCACCATATCTGGATGTTCAATACATTCTATTCTACAGGCTGCCACTGTACATTTTTTAAAAAATGTGAACATAGCATGCTAGTTTAAGGAACCAGGTGCTCCTCTTAGAGGTTTCTGTGATCCACACTTTGGTGATTGCTTCGCTGTGGTGATACTTAACTCATGCTTCCTTCTCCTTGGTTTCTGGGAAGAGGCAGTGAACCAGAAATGTGATCACCTTCGTGTTTAGCTGTTGGTCAGACCCCTAGCGGAACCCAGGTGCATTACCCACCCTGCGCACCCTGAGCGCTGGCTCCCAGATCCCATGCGAGGCTCTGTGTGTCCTGTCCCACTCACACCTGCGTCTTCTCAGTTTCCCCACTTCTGCTTTCATTCGTTTATCTATTTTTCTCTGCTTAACTCTTCTCGGTGGTCAGCCCAGGAGCCTCAGCCTGCCTCTAGCTAGTTCTCCCCAGAGTTTGTTTTGGTTGTAGTCAGCCAAAGCCTCGTAGGTCAGATTATTTTGGGTATTACTGGAAAGCTCTAACCCAAAGCCTGAGTAAAGTACCAACCAAAGTGGGTTTTGCAGGATATTTTTTTTTTATAACTATGATTCTGGAGAGTAGCCGGACTCACACTGCGTGGTGGGGAGAGGCATCCATCCAAGTCAGAGGAGCTGGGGCTCTTTTCTGCTTTCAGGCCAGTTATTTGGGTAATTTTGCAATTGACTCATAAACACCAGTGTGTTGTTTGCAGTGCTTTTGTTGGTTTTGTCCTGGCCATAGCTGTGTAGTTTCCTTTACCCTGTACATTTTCAGTAAGGCCTAGCATAATTCAACAGCACTGTGAGCGAGGTGCTCCTTTTAGTATCTTTCCTTCCTCCAAAGAGTTGCATAACTTGAGTTTCATAGGTTTTCAGCCAATTGGAAACTGGACTCTAGCTCTGGAATTGTGGAAGTTGGAGATGGCGCACAGCAGAACGTGCATTCCCGATGTGAGACAGCTCTTATAATATTAATCAAAGGTTTTGCTTCATCCTGGAAATTAATTGAAATTGATAGGAAATTTATTTTAAAATAATTATGCAATTCTGAA